AGAATTCTCTTTTTCCACAGAATTTGTAATGGTATAATCCAAGGGTCCACAGTATGCCAATAGTGAGCACTATAGCACACATTGGCGCCTTTCCTGGCGCACACCGAGTGTTTTTAGAAAATGGATGGCTTCTCGTTGGCCATGGGAGATTTGATTGGCTGTGCAGACTTTTTAAAGTGTTGCCTTGGCATCCGCTGCCACCACAGCACAATGGTATTCGCTGTGTGACTGAAGGGTAAGCTACGGCGGCCATTTTCTGGCGGCCATTTTGTGGCCACACCCAACAGGCCGTGTCAGAACTCCAAAGGCGCTTGCCGTCTCCCCCCACCCCCTGGATCTTTCATCTTTCATGGAAGATGCTGAACTCTCTCTTATGATTTGAACGAAATATGATTGTAACCTTTTAAAACGTCTTTGTGCCTCCAAAATTAATTATGGTACTAAGAAAAAAGCACAGGTTCTCAGATTCGGAGACACGAATCGGGTTGACTTCTTGGGTCGTGATTTGGGGAACAGCAGCGCGCCTGATTATTGTTTCTTTTTCAATGGAACATAGTCGTCTTGTGCATTTTTTAAAGAGGAAAAACAGTCACCTTTAAAAACGCTGTAGCCGCTTGAGGCAATCGGGGCAGAGCCGTGACCTGTCGGTCTCTTGCCCCCTTTCCTGTAGGAACTGGCCGCAGCTCTGAAATCTGGTCTGTCTGGAAATCTGGAGACGCTGATGTTAGCCCTCGTGAAGACGGCCCCCCAGTACGACGCCAGTGAACTGAAAGCGGCCATGAAGGTAAATGGAGGGTGTGCCGTGAGCGGGGCGCCCGGTTTATTTCGTTATTCATTTCGTGGATCTTCTACTGCTAGAGAATTTGCCCGAGTGTCTTATCCAAAGAATCTGCCCTGAGAACACCCTGGAACTTGTGCAAAGATGACCTCATGGCTCAACCATGGGTCTCGATGTGACCCACAGGGTGGAAGATTGCTTGCGTGCATCTATCCCTCGGTCTCGCATGCTTCGCTGTCGAGGTTCTGCAGACTTAATTTGCGTTCCTTCTGGCAGCCGGTTAGGCGACGCGACGTTCTTGGTAATACCTGGGTGGTTCTTTTTTTAATCCAATGCTGCCCTCTTGTGATTCCGGCCAGCACGGTTATAATGGAATAAAACAACCCCAAAATGGCTAATCTCAAACAAACACTACAGAAATATATATACAGTGATAGTATTAATGACAAAGCAGTAAAGCCCATACATGTGAATAGATCAAATAAAGTATTGTTATAACAGAGAAGTCTTCAATTTCCATTGCATGTAGCATGGGGAAGAAGTCTAAAGTCTTCAAGTCACGTGTAGCAACACACAGAGAAATCAAACAATATAAGTTCAGTAGAGAAGTCATCTTCAATTGCATGTAACATATAAACGAAGAATCCAGATATTATAAACTCCATTTCGCTGAACTTCCTCAGTAATGTCAATGGCAAATGTAATTGAACACAAAATTGACGGCATCCGCTTCTGAAGTAATTTGTAAAGAAACAGTTTCCAAAAGGTCCTTGTATTAATGGGCGACCAGTCCAATTCTTTTAAGTGGAGCTTGCTTCCATGGCTTTTTAGTCTGCTGGTTCTGCCTCTAAACAAGAAAGTCGGAAGGACCGCTATATATAAAGGGAGAGACTATCCCTAAGAGTCTAGATTATTTCACTGATTTCATTTGAGGTGATCGTAGATTATTTCTAGATTATAGATTATTTTACTCTTAGCGAGGAGCCTTTTCTTCCACAAGCTTCCCCGGCATGAATATATATATTCATCCCCTTTCCATTGCTGTTGTTCTTTTTGTTTCTTTACATCTTTCCTACGGCACTTAATACGTGACCGAGGCAAAAAAAATTCCTTTGTGTGTGATGTTAAAGCAAGGGAATTGTGTGGCTACCTTGGTTAAAGAGGCTTAATTTGTCAATCACATACCTAATTCTCAAGCAACAGTTTACACTATTATTAGTAGTAGTATAGTATTATTAATAATAATAGTAGTCACAGTCATATATTTGACTAGTAGATGATGTTCTCCAATTCCAAATCTGGCCATGTTCTTGGGAATTGCAGATGTATCTTTGCAACACTCTTGATGTTCCAAACAATGCTGTCTTCTGGAGCTGAGCTGGTCTTATTTTTTCAATGCTGAGAGTGTCCAGATGTTTCTTGAGCCATCTAGGCACTGCTCCAAGGGCTCCAATGACAACTGGCACAATGGCCACCTTTTTCTCTGAAAGGCACTCTAACTCTATTCGTAAGTCTTGGTATTTTGTGATCTTCTCCTGTTCCTTCTTTTCTATTCCAATGTCTCCTGGGATTGCAGTAACAATGATCCAAACCCTATTTCTCCTTTTTTTCTACAATTGTAATGTCAGGGGTGTTCTGCGCCAGGTGTTTATCTGTTTGCAATCGGGAGTCCCAAAGAACCGTTCTTTCATCATGCTCCATGTTCTTGTCTGGTTTGTGCGCCCATGAATTTCTGGCTGATGGGAAGCCGTCATACGTCTTGCAAAGATTCCAGTGCAACGTAGCTGTGACTCTGTCCTGACCCGTGACGTTCTTGATAGTCCGTTTGAGCCATGTTACTGCAGGTGCTGTTGCAAAGATTCCAGTGCAATGTAGCTGCGACTCTGTCCTGACTCGTGACGTTCTTGATAGTCCATTTGAGCCATGTTACTGCAGGTGCTGATGGTGTGTTCGACTGCTTCACCCTTTGTCTTGCAAAGTTTACATTTGCTGTTATCGCTGGCCGTTTGGTGTGCCTGCTGGTGTGCAGCTAGAATCACAGAATCATAGAGTTGGAAGGGACCACCAGGGTCATCTAGTTCAACCCCCTGCACAATGCAGGAAATTCACAAATACCTCCCCCTCCACACCTCCAGTGACTGCTGTTTCGTGCCCAGATGATGGTAAAAAAAACCTCCAGGATCCCTGGCCAAACTGGCCTGGAGAAAAATTTCTTCCTGACCCCATCCCTGACCCCAAAGCAGCGATTGGCATTTCCCTGGGCATGTAAGAAAGGGCCACGAGAACTAAGCACTGAGGCAACCCTTCCTGCCCTCCCTTCTCACGATCTGCCTAAGTGCACAGAATCAGCATTGCTGTCAGATGGCCATCTGGCCTCTCTGCTTGAAAACCTCCAAAAAAGGAGAGCCCACCAGTGCTCCCTCTAAACTGTGGAGTCTGGTGAGCAAAAATTCTACTTTGTGAGCGACTGGCATTAACGTTGTGGGCAAGCGATTTGGCTACTGCACCGGTTAGTTCGCTCTGGAGCCCCATCCTTCCTGAGCTAGGACAAACATGTGTGAGTTGGAGGCTAAAAAACTGTGAGCTGGCTCACACTAACTCGGCTTAGAGGGAACACTGGAGCTCACCACCTCCCCGGGAAGCCTGTTCCCCCGAGGAATCGCTCTGTCAGGAAGTCCTTCCTAATGTTTAGCCAAAAACTCTTCTGATTGAATCGCAACCCGTTGGTTCTGGTCCGACCTTCTGGGGCAACAGAAAACAACTCCGCCCCGTCCTCTAGATGACAGCCCTTCAAGTGCTTGAAGACGGTTATCCTATCCCCTCTCAGTCGTCTCCTCCCCAGGCTAAACATGACTCCTTCTGTTTCTTTCTTCAAATGTCCATTTTGGAGCCATCCCCCACCCCTTAAAGTGTCCCAGCCTTCCACTACTCAGAGCTCGTTTGCAGCCGAAGTCGGCTGGAATCAAATGGAGCCGAAACCGACCCTAATTCACCCAGCCTTCAGGAATCCTTTTCACTGAACTGGGCTCGGGAAGGTGGCCCGAGTTCCCAAAGAGTTTAATTAGCACCTGACACCTTTTCATGTGTGTTAGTAATTTTCTTATTGTATTAACAGCCTCATAATTGATTTACACTTTACACCCGGTTAATTCAACGTTAGTTCAAAGTCGCACTCCTGAATTAAGTTTTTATGCTCGCCGCGCGCAGGGAAGGGTGGCTTGGAGAGGGAAGCCTGCTGATTAAATCTTGACTTTGATCATGAGATCAGTCTTTGAAATCCATATTTTATAGCGCAGTGTCCCTTGAACTCCACCAGCTTGTTCCGGATGAACGAAATCTTGAGTTTTTAGCATGTCACGCAAAATACAGTTTTGTCGTTCAGCGTCAGCGGTGATAATGAGCAGGGTTTTCTTGGCCGGGTTTTAAGGGGCTGCCCAGAATTGGGGTTTACTTTTGCTAAAAAACAATTTCCAGATAAAGTGTATGTGAATATTGGACTCGTTACAGAGTGCAAAATATTTAATTTCAGCTGAAGATGACGTCCAGGGAGCTCGGTTTTGGATTATCTCCAGTTGCAATCTCTTTACTTTTATGTTGTCGAAGGTTTTCATGGCCGGAGTTCATTAGCTGCTGTAGATTTTCCGGGTTGTATGGCCGTGGTCTTGGCATTGTAGGACCTGTCGTTTCTCCAGTAGCTGTGACTGGCATCCTCAGAGGTATAACACAGAAAGACAGAGCACTCTCTGTGTCAAGGTGAGAAGAAAAATGGTAGGCGGGTAATTTATACCTACTTGGGAAGGTGGGGTAGGACTGAGTCATTGTCTTGTAGGAGTTCCCCAGGCTATGGACATGCTAATGGAGGAGCTTTCCTGAGGAGGTTCTTCTGCATATGGGTTGACTGTTGAAGTTCTAATCTTATCTGTAGTGTTATTGTGAGATGTAGAGCATTTTGTGTTTTTCGGGACACGTGGATCTGCCCTTGGCATGGTTTCCTGCCCTGAAAAACACAAAATGCTCTACATCATACAACAGCACTACAGATGAAATTAGAATTAAACTGCCAATCCACATGCAAAAGAACCTCTTCAGGAAACAGGAAACCTCCTCAGGAAACAATCCACATACAAAAGAACCTCCTCAGGAAAGCTCCTCCATTAGCATGTTCCACAGCCTTGGGAACTCCTACAAGACAATGCCTCAGCCCTACCCCACCTTCCTGAGTAGGTATAAATTACCTGCCTACCATTTTTCTTCTTCTCACCTTGACACCGAGAGTGCTCCATCTTTCTGTGTTATACCTCTGAGGATGCCAGTCACAGCTGCCGGCGAAACGTCAGGTTTTACAGTGCCAAGACCACGGCCAGATAGCCCGGGAAATCTACAGCAGCTCTTTGCTTTTATTAAACAATCCAGGGTCCCAGAGGTCTTGGACAGAGCCAGTCTTTCAAATATCACCTTCCATTTCCATCTTGGCACAGAAAAGGCATAGCTGCCGGAAATTTACCCACAGCCAATGTAATACCAGTATCAGCTAGTAGGGAAGACACAGAAACAAGTGAAATGTCAGAAGCCATTACCGGCTGTATCCACAGATCCCTCAGAGGGGTGATCAACATACATGCAAAGAAAAATAGGAGGTGGGGTTTCAGTCGCTCTTCGGCTTCTCTAGAAACCTGCTCTGACTGTTGTCAGTTCCAGAGCATACATAAAAACATAGAAAACTAGAGCTGGCAGGGACTGAGGGTCATCTAGTCCAACCCATTCAATAATAATAATAATAATAATAAACTTTATTGTCATTGTACATAGTACAACGAAATTAAAGATGCAATCATTTCGGTGAACCATACTCATATACACTCACACAACCATTCACAACCATCCCATAACTCCCCTTAAGGTTCACATAGCAACTTAAACCACCAATGTCACCCAAATTCCAATTTCATACAGCATTTAAAGCAATAATAGCTCTCGAATAAAAACTATTTTTTAATCTGTTTGTCCTTGTTTTAATTGTCCTATATCTTCTACCCGAAGGCAGCCGTTCAAACAGGGAGTGTTCAGGGTGTGACAAATCCTGCAGAATGTTCTTTGCTTTTTTCAAACACCGAGAACTATACAATTCCTCCAGGAACGGGAGAGGGCAGCCAATAATCTTCTGGGCTGTGATGATAACTCTCTGGGGCGCTTTCCTATCCACAGCCGCACAACTAGCAAACCAGGCACAGACGCAGTATGTTCAGAGCACAGGAAATTCATACCTACTCCCCCCCCCATTCCTCCAATGTCCCCTGCTCTGTGCCCAGAGGAACCAAACAATAGGGACCCCAAGGTTCCAATTTTCAGCCGTATAACTGAGGAAGAATGCTTTGAAACGTCTGCCACACCTAGGAAGGGCGTTCTATGGGAAATCCTCTGCCTTGTTTGTGGACTTTAAGGTCTTTTGGATAGTACTATGCTGAAAGGATATAGAGGAGTCTCTTGTTGGATTCTTTATTTTTGAATTGTTATACCCTTCTTGTCGAAATGTTTTGTATATGTACTTGTGTTTCTGAATTGTGTTTCAGAGTTGTGACCACCAATTCGACATTATTAATTGACTCAACGTTATTATGTTGCAATGGACTGATGTCTGTTTGGTAACTTCTGAAATTTGTGAATTATTTGATGGTCTACCCTTGTGTTTTTTATCTATGCCCAGAGGAAGGCAAGAACCCTTCAGGATCCATGGGCCAATCTGGCCTGGAGGGAAATTCCTTCCTGACCCCAAAGTGGCGGTCGGCATTTCCCAGGGTGTGTAAGAAAGGGCCACGAGAACTGAGCACTGAGGCAACCCTGCCTGCCATCCGCTGAGGCACCGCTCTAACTGTCAGGAAGTTCTTCCTCATGTTTAGCTGGAAATTTCAACCCCTTGGTTCTGGCCCGACCTTCTGGGGTGGCAGAAACCAACTTGGCTCCACCCTCTACATGACATCCCTTCGAAGACTGCTCTGATGTCAAAGTGCAGAAGCTCTCTCTCTCCTATTGTTACTTCTTTTTCTTTTTGGCAATTGCTTTTTCTTTTGGTTGAAATTGCAGACAGGCTTTTAAACTGCGCTTTGATCAAAACTTGTGGGCCATTCAGGAAGTGGTTTTTTTTGTGTGTGTGTGTCTGTCGCTCAGTCCCTTTGTGCTCTTCTTCCCAGGGCCTGGGGACGGACGAAGACACGCTGATCGAGATCATTTGCTCGCGGACCAACCAGGAGCTCGGTCAAATTAACAGAATGTACAAAGAGAGTAAGTTCGTTGGGCCAAAAATGGGGGAATCTAGAGACAACCTCTGACACGCTGGTTCACATTTCCACTGATTACAACCCGAGCAAGGGCCTTCTTGGTTGTGGCACTGAACCCCTATAATACTTACTCAACAGTTGAATAACAGTTGATAAGAGTATTGTAGAAATTTAGAGTTTTAGTAATTTTGTAATTAACATACGCAGATTAAACACAGTTTTATATTTAAACATTTTATATATATTATTGGTACCCTTTTTGTATTGTCTGTAATTGGGCTGGTGATATACCGAATAAACTGAATAAACTGAAACTGGTGGCACCAAAGCTTTGCAGCTCCTTCTCAGGGGAGGGTGCTGAAACTCCCTCCACGGGGAGTTTCGTCCGTCTCCCTCTATCATTGTCTTCCACCAGTCGGTGAAGGCGTTTTCGTCTCATTTGGCATACTCCCAGTTAACAGCTGTTGGCCTTTACCCTTGGATACCTTTACCTTTACCGAAGATTTGAAAGTTCACCGTTGGCCTCGTCCAATTAATACTCGATCTGTTTATTTCAGTGTACAAGACTGAGCTGGAAAAGGACATCATATCGGACACATCTGGCGATTTCCGCAAACTGATGGTCACCCTAGCCAAGGTGTGGATCTCAACATCTGGTTGTGTCCTCCCCCCCCCCTCTTGCTGTGTATGCAGTGGATGTATTTGATCGGAGACTGTTTGATGAACTTCTCTCCCACAGACCTTTTAGGGATGCCAGTCTCCAGGTGGGACCTGGGGACCCCCCAGAATTACAGCTCATCTCCATGCTAGAGAGATCCGTTTCCCTGGAGGGTGGACTCTGTGGCACTGTACCCCACCAAGGGTCCTGTGCTTCCCAGGCCCCCGTCCCCATATATCCAGGAGGTTCCTAACCCAAATCTGCCACCACCCCGCCGGCACCCTACTCTCTGTTTCTCTCTTCCATAGAAGCTTAGAGAGAAATAAAGAGGCCATTTTCGCGGGAGGGTTCCCTGGGCGATCCTGCATCTAGCATTCGCTCCGCAACTGGGAGGGGAAAGTGCAGTTCACAACCACATCCAGATACCTCATGGCAACGCCCCGTACTGTCTGTAGAGTCACCCCTGAATGGCAATAAAACGGCCATAAAGCTATAAAGGAGGTACCGTAAAACCCAATAATTAAAGAAAGTCAAAGCGGCATGGAGGGTTCAGTAAAATTTCTGTTCCAGTGTGGCTTTCATAAAACAACGGCGGGAAAAGCCAATGCAGAATCAGCCCCCCGTTGCATGAGCAAATTCAGCTCAAGCCAACTGCGCTCTAGTGCCACCCACAGGCCATTTACAAACATTACACAATGGCAGCATATTTAAAATGGTGAATGGGGGCTAAACCAATGCAAGTGGCAGGGATGTGCGTTGGAATGAGTGCTCTGACCCAGACGACAGATTGGAGAAAGCAGGGCTATTTTTGGGCAGGAACGCACAGGAACAGAGTTCTGGCTGGCTTCAGAGTTGGCCACGCCCACTACAGCCAAAACCTCTGTGTATGGCCACAGAGGAAAGGCCTGGAGAGCAAACCCCCCCCCCGGTGACTCCAAGGCGGGCCAGAGGGGGCCTGGAAGGATCAGGGAGGCATTTAAATGCCTCCCCATGCCTTCCCCAGCCTGTCGAAGGGCCGGCTTGCCCAGGCTTCCCACAGCCACGGGGCACCCGGGCAAGCCAAGGGTAGGCATGGGGTGTGGCCTAATATTCTAATGAGTTCGTTGTTGGGCGTGGCCTATTATGCTAATGAGTCCCTGCTGGGCTTTTTCTACAAAAAAAGCCCTGGCAGAAAGTATATGCATCTTGTCTCCATCGGGTACTCATTTGATCAAGCAGGGATTACTGCAGCCGAGGTCACAGATCCGTCGTAGGAGGGAACGTGACCTTGTAGAGCATTCTGTGTATCAAAAGGCCTTCTTGACTGCGTCTGATGGTGATGTCTCTTTGACGTTTGTGTTCTTTTTTTATTAAAAAAAATAGGGAAGGAGGAACGAGGACTGTTCAGTGGTCGACTACGAGCTGATTGACCAAGATGCCAGGGTAGGTGCCGTTGTGTAGCCACAACAGATCCCTTGCCGCTTTTTTATTATTTCATTTATTTACAAACTTTATACCCTGCTTTTCGGCCCCTATCAGGCCGCCGAGACAGATATACGGTCAGGGGCCTGCCTACCTGAGGGACCACCTTTCCCCGTATGTCCCCCAAAGAGCACTGAGGTCAGGGTCGCAAAACCGTCTGACTCTCCCTGGTCCAAAAGACGCCAGATTGGCCACTACCAGAGCTAGGGCCTTCTCAGTGGCGGCTCCGCACTGATGGAACGAGCTCCTGGAAGACATCAGGGCCCTGCGGGACCTCCTACAATTTCCGCAGGGCCTGCAAAACGGAGTTCTTCCACCAGGCCTTCGACTCGGAGCCGCCACAGAGGAATGAGCTATTAAAAACTGAATTGCTACGGCCCTTATCCTATCGGCACTAAGGACAACTATGGATACTGGTTTAGCTATATTCGACCACCATACAGCAATCGCCATCGGCACTTAATTGCACTTTGTGTGTATATAATAATAATAGAAGAAGAGATTGGATTTATACCCCGCCCTTCACTACCCGAAGGAGTCCCAGAGCGGCTTACAAACTCCTTTCTCTCCCCCTCCCCACAACAGGACACTCTTTGAGGTGGGTGGGGCTGAGAGAGCTCTTGACAGAAAGTGCTCTTTTTCAAGGACAGCTCTTATCAGAACTATGAGTTGCCCAAGTCATCCAGCAGGTGCAAGTGGAGGAGTGGGGAATCAAACCTGGTTCTCCCAGACTAGAGTCCACACACTTAACAACAACAACAACAACAACAACAACAACAACAACAACAACAACAACAACAACAACCACATCTTAAAAGCAAAATTCTTTCATGGCCTCCCCAGGACCTGTATGACGCTGGCGTGAAGAGGAAGGGAACCGACGTTCCCAAGTGGATCAACATCATGACCGAAAGGAGTCCCCAGCACCTGCAGAAAGGTAACTTGAAACATGCCAGGAACGAGATAAAAGTCACGTCCTGCAAAGAAAAGAAAAGTTTAAGGAATCAAGGAACACTCTTGTAACAATTTCTCTCCCTTGGGTCTCGAGCGCGGGAAGGGAAACGCAGATATTTTAGCTCAAAGGTCTTCCTAGAAATGAGTGTTTGGTTGACGCCATATGTATTCATTTATTTATTCAAATTTTTATCCCGCCCTCCCGGCCTAGGCCGGCTCAGGGCGGCTTACAAGCAGATAGAATTCCAACAATACGTACAAAGCACATCAACAATTAATATAAATACAATATTAAAATACCATGTTAAAATCAGATATAATAGTAAAGTGCTAGGCTTTGTAACTGAGCTGCGGTGGCTCAAGTGGTTAAGACGCTGAACTGAAGGCTGTGGAAGGTCGGTAGTTTAGCAGTTCAAGACCCGAGTGTGCCGCATGACGGAGTGAGCTCCCGTCTCTAGTTCCAGCTCCTGCCAACCTAGCAGTTCGAAAGCAAGAAATTGCAAGTAGATAAATAGGTACCACTTCGGTGGGAAGGGAACAGCGTTCCGTGCGCCTTGGTGTTTAGTCATGCCGGCCACATGACCACGGAAACGTCTTTGGACAGCGCTGGCTCTTCGGCTTTGAAGCGGAGACGAGCACCGCAACCCTAGAGTCAGACTCGACTGGCTTTTGAGCAAGAGAAACCTTTACCTTTAGGCTTTGTAACCTCAACCACATTGGTCTGCTCAGATGTCATAAGAAGTGCTTCAGATGTCATAAATCATAAAGGGGGATTGGCTCCAGAAGCCTGGCGGAAGAGCTCTGTATCCAATGCCTCTTTTATACCACCCTTCCTCCCAGGACCCTGGCGTAATGCACGTGGTCTTTCCACCTCCGCTTTATCATGGCAACGTTTTGTGGTGGCCATTTTGTCACCACGCCCATCGCGCTTTGGCGGAATTACAGAGATGCCCGCAGGCTCAAGAAAGGGTTGGGGACCCTTGATCTAAATGAAGGTTCTCTTCAGTCCTTCTCTTTCCTGACCCCGACAGTGTTCGATCGGTACAAGAGCTACAGTCCGTACGATATGCAGGAGAGCATCAAGAAGGAGGTCAAGGGAGATCTGGAAATCGCATTCCTCAACCTTGGTAAGTAGATGTGGAGGCAGCTGGTCGGAAGGCCCCACTGTAGTGTAACGGAGCCTGCTGCTGGTCTATGCAGGGCTGATCATGGACTCGAAGGAGTTTTTTCTGCAAAGGCTATGCTTGCTTGTGTTCCAAAACACACCACACGCCTGCATCTTGCTGAATCACACCTTGGAGCTGTCGTCTGTTGCAGGCCCGTAGGGCTGGGGCTTTTGGGGGCTGTGCCCCCTTTCTTAAAGGCACAGCCCCACAAGAATTTCTCCTGTAAATGCTTTTTTCAACCCTTTAAAAACATTTTTAAAAGGCGTGAGCTCCTTTTAAACCAGAGTGGTGTGTAGTTGATTAATTCCCACAAGGGGGTTGGAGTAGGTGACCGTTAGGATCCCTTCTAACTGTGTGAAGCAACTGGCCTCCTTGAAGAGAGTTTTTCTGCCTAAGTGTTAGCTTTCTTGACTACAGAAGCCATCACCCCCACCTGCTGGCTTGTTCACAGAATTGTTGCCTAGGCTGGCAGAAGTGATTAACTTGCAGCAGCTGAGAACTGTAATCTAAAGTGATTAACTTGCAGCAGCTGAGAACTATCATCTAAAGGGGCTGCCAGCTTGCAGTTTAGAGATCTATCCTGGTCACAGTTTTCTATTGGCTAAATGTTTTTTCTTCCTGCACTGAGGACTTCAGCCCCATCGGGAAAACAGTTGCTCCGTAAGCCACAAAATCCTGGCTACGGGCCTGCTTCATTGGAACGTTAGTTGGCCATCAGTTTGGGATCTCCAAAACAGGCAGTAGTGGGAAGCCATGAGATATTGTTTGAGTGGAGGAGAAGCTAGACATCTTCTTCTTCTTGGGGGAGGGGGGAAAGTGTGCCATAGGGGCCCAAACAATGAGAATGTGTGAATCAAATGATGCCCAGAGCTTGTGTCCTGCCCGTGCGCCTTGGGGCGGGGGGGAGGCTCTCCCCAAGTCTGTGGACCACAGAGACAGATAGAACTGGAGAGGAAGGCCAGAGTGAAGGCCTAGCTCCGTGTACCATGGTCAGAAGGATGACACTGGGCCCGTCTGATTCTGGCAAGCCGTCTTCAGGAAGGCTAGTCTACCATCAATGACCTTCACATCTGGGAACCCTGGATATGTTTCCGAGGACTCCCTGGTTCTAATTTTACCTGCAATGCATCTTTATTGTCCGTGTCCGTTTTTCTTCTCTCCCACAGTTCAGTGCCTTCAGAACAAGCAGTTGTACTTTGCTGACCGGCTCTACGAATCCATGAAGGTAGAGTATTTATTTATTTATTTAATTGCATTTATATCCCGCCCTCCCCGCATGCAAGCTCAGGGCGGCTTACAAGACATAGGTGTAATACAACACCCCAGTTACACAAATAATATCTGAAACCAGGCCCGACATGCAAAGCTCCGGGAAGATCTCCTGCACGAATTGTAGGGGGCTGTTTCCCATTCTTTTGAGATGAATTGGGGGAGGGGGGCTCTTCCACGCCGTTCACTTGTGCCCCTCCCCTTCAGCCTCTGACGTACTGACCAATTCTGTTTTTAGTTGGCCAAGGCCCAACAAAACTGATGCCCAACAATTCGTCCATGGGAGGTTAGTGTGTCAATTAAGAGCCGGGTTCGAGTCCAGGAGCACCCTAGAGCTTTTGAGGGTCTGGGCTCCCTTGTATCTGAAGAAAGGAGTTTTGACCCTGGGAAGCTCCTGCCCTGAAAACCTTCCTGGGCTCTAAGGCGCTCCTGGGTTCGAGTCTAACTGTAACAAAATGGGGGGAGGCTCTGCACCAGTGCCCCCTCTAAGCTGTGGAGTCTTGTGAGCAAAAATCCTACTTTGTGAGCTTACTGGCATTAAAGTTGTGGGCGAGAGATTTGGCTGCTGCATTCATTTGTTTGCTCTGGAGCCCTCCTTCCTGAGCGAAGACAAAAAGGTGTGAGCCGGAGGCTAAAAAACTGCGAGCTGATTCACACTAACTCAGCTTAGAGGGATCACTGCTCTGCAGGGTGCAGGTCGTTTCAGCAGGCGGCTGTGTGGGTCTGCAGTATAAGAGCTGCATTCGGGTCCAGGAGCAGCTTGGAGGCCAAGAAGATTTTCGGGATACGACGTTTCGAGAGTCAGGGTTCCCCTTGACGAAAGATGTCTGACGAAGGGAGTTTTGACTCTCGAAACCTCGTACCCCGAAAACCTTGCTGGCCTGTAAAAGGTGCTCCCGGATTCGAATGTAGCTCTTTCTACCGCAAACCGTCACTGCTACCGTCTGAGACAGAATCAGTTAAGCCGGAGTTGTTGAACTCATTTGTTACGAGGGCTGGATCTGACATACTTTGCCGGGCCGGGCCGGGCCACGCCACGTGTGCCATAAAACGTAGTGCAGGGTACCGGAGATATAAACTGTATAAAGGACAGCAGCTGGTAAGCTCAGAGTTGGTGTAGCCTCACTGAAAGGCCCCCTGGGCTGGGAGGGGGTGGAGAGGAAAACCACATGGGTGGACTGGAGATCCAGCAGTGCAGCAGTGGGCAGAAGCTCCCACGCTGCTTGAGTGCTGCAGATGAGGTTGTTCCACCATGCTGAAGCCACAATCGGAGTGGATCCACCCACTCTGCTCCCTGAGCAGTCTTCTGTTCCTTCCCTTGCACCAGTTGCTTGTGGGCCGTGTAAGAGCCCCCGACGGGCCAGTTCCAGCCCTCGGGAGTTATGTTTGACACCCCCAGGGCTATTTTTGGGCAGGAACGCACAGGAACGGAGTTCCGGCTGGCTCCCGAGTTGGCCACACCCAGCAGGAACTCATTAGCATAACAGGCCACACCCAACAGCAGAAACTCATTAGGATTGGCTACATTTGGGGTGTGTGGCCTAACATGCAAAAGAGTTCCTGCTACAAAAAAGGCCCTGGGTTTTGACAACAAACAAGGTAAACAGAATAAGAAGCAAACGGTGGGTGTGGCTGGATAACCACACTTCTGGTAACATGGGGGTGCGGCCTAATATGCCAATGAGCTGTGCTGTCAGGGGTGTGTCCTAATAAGCAAATGAATTTCTGCTGTTGGGTGTGGCCTATTATGCTAATGAGTTCCTGCTGGGCTTTTTCTACAAAAAAAGCCCTGGACACCCCGCTAAGCTAACCAATACCCACCGCAGCCTAACTTTGCTTATCATGTGCTTCTTCAGTATCTCAGCAAGGCATCTGTTTTGAAGCTTTGGTGATCTGCTCGCTTATATTAAAGTTGACCGATTAATGTCTTGGTTAAAAGCAGGTGATGGAAATACTAGGAATTCTCTAATGGGTCAGTGGCTTTGTGAATGTTAGGGCAAAGGAGGGCAATTTGTTTCTGTCTCTACCGTGCGCCTTTCTTTTTACCTTTACATGGCACTTCCACAGCATGTTGGGGTCAAATGGACCCCAATACTGATGCTGTGCGATACCTTTAAAGTCTCGCCTAGTTTCTGATCTGGGAACTAAAAATGGGAGGAACTAAAAATGGGAAACAACCCAAAGGGGCTGTTTTCTAAAAAAAATTCCTTCTGCGTCGGGTATGACCTGGAGATGATTTCTTGCCTTTGGGTAATTCTGCGTTCACACAAGTTTGTCAGCAGATTGTCCGCTTTTTAAAGACGATTTCCCAAATGTTAAAAACCAATCCGTGTGACAAACGGCTCTTTCAGGGCAAAGGGACCAGGGACAAGATCCTGATCCGGATCATGGTTTCCCGCAGCGAGGTCGACATGCTGAAGATCAAGAGCGAATTCAAGAGGAAATACGGGAAGTCCCTCTACCACTTCATCCAGGTGAGTGAGAAGGCGGCCGCGGCTCAGTGGCAGGTCGCGCAGGTTTTGCACGCAGAATTTATTGATTTACTTCATTTATACCCCACCTTTTCCCCCAGCGGGGGCGCCTATCATTCTTCGGTCCTCTGTTTTAATCCTCACCACAACCCTGTGAGGTAGGTTAGGCTGAGAGCATGTGACTGGCCCAAGGTCACCCAGCGAGCTTCTGTGGTAGAAGTGGGCATTCAAACCTGGGTCCACCACATACTAATCCGACACTTTAACCCCTGCACCACACTGGCTTCTCCCAGCTCCTAGTGTGACACGCTTAACCACTAGAAGAAGAGAATAGATTGGATTTATACCCCACCCTTCACTACCCAAAGGAGTCTCAGAGCGGCTCACAAACTCCTTTCCCTTCCCCTCCCCACAACAGACACCCCACAACAGACACCCTTCACTACCCAAAGGAGTCTCAGAGCGGCTCACAAACTCCTTTCCCTTCCCCTCCCCACAACAGACACTCTGTGGAGAACTGCCCTTGAGAGAACAGCTCTGAGAGAACTTGTAACTGACCCAAGGTCAGCCAGCTGGCTGCATGTGGAGAAGTGGTGAATCAAACCCGGTTCTCCCAGATTAGAGTCCATGCTCTTAACCACTACACCAAACTGGCCCTCAGGTTGGGTCCCAGAATCTCCGTAAAGGATAGCGGATGTTGCCATCCATACTTAGGGTCGAGGGACCAGTGGTCCGAAGAGGTATAGGGCGGCTTCGGGTTTTACAGAGAGGAAGTGCAACTCACTGGTAGCCCGCGGGCTTTATATGCAGGAGGTCCCAGGTTCAGTCCCTGACAACTGCACACGATAGTGGAGGTCTGTCCCGACCTACCTACCTACCTTCATCCCCCCCTCCCACTCAATTCAGTTCAGCTTTAACCAAGTTCAGTGGTCTTTTAGGAGACACCCTTGCTCTTCAAAATAAACAGGAAGGTGGGCTGAAAGTGGCTTCACAATTGGAATCGTGCGCAGCAATGAAAGAGAAGGGGATATGCCTATCAGTGGCTGCCAGACTAAATAAAACTTCCACATTCAGAGGCAGTCAACTTCTGAGTCAGGAAGCAACATCGGGGAAGACCTCAGCCTCTATGTCTTGTTGTTGGACCTCCAGAGGAACTGGCTGGCCCCTGTGTGAGACGGGATGCTGGAGTAGATGGACCCTCACTGGTCTGACCCAGCAGGGCTCTCCTGATGTTCTTATCAGGGGACGGCCTCCTCCTCTGTGCCCTGTTGTTGGGCCTCCATAGGAACTGGTTGACCACTGTGTGAGACAGGAGGCTGGACTGGATGGACCCTCACTGGTCTGATCCAACAGGGCTCTTCTGAGGTTCTTATCAGGGGAAGGCCTCGGCCTCTCGGCCTTGTTGTTGGCCCTCCAGAGGAACTGGTTGGCCACTGTGTGAGGCAGGATGCTGGACTAGAGGGACCCTCACTGGTCTGATCCAGCAGGGCTCTTCTGATGTTCTTAAGCTCAAGGGAAGGCCTCGGCCTCTGTGCCCTCTTGTTGGCCCTCCAGAGGAACTGGCTGGCCCTTGTGTGAGGCAGGATGCTGGACTAGAGGGACCCTCACTGGTCTGATTCAGCAGGGCTCTTCTGATGTTCTTCTCAGGGGAAGTCCTTGGCCTCCATGCCCTGTTGTTGGCCCTCCAGAGGAACTGGCTGGCCACTGTGTGAGACGGGATGCTGGACCAGATGGACCATCGGTCTGACCCAGCAGGGCTCTTCTGATGTTCTTAAGAGGCTAAGGAGGAACCTTGTACACATTTTTGTACCTTCCGTTTTGTGCCATTTTGGGAGGTCCTTCTAAGACGCTGAATGTGCAGGAGGGTTCAGAGGATAATCTTCTCATTTTGCTTTCCTTGCAGCAAGACACAAAGGGAGATTATCAGAGGGCGCTCCTGAACCTGTGCGGAGGGGAGGAGTGAAAACCGTGACGGCGAAGACCCGTCCTTGCCTGGATACGTGTCGTCTGCTTTCCTTCTCCTGCCGAACTTAGACCCGCCGACGCACTAACTCTTCTCGTTCTCTGCATCTGCAAGACTCGATACCCTCGGTTGCTTTCATGTAGTCCCCTAACTTGGCTCTGCGTGGCTTTTGCTCAAGTAGCTAACCTTAAGCTGGAGTGGTGAGGCTGGGGAAGTTAACATTCCAGAGAGGAAGAGAGAGAGAGACAAAACTTGTGCTGTGAAAGATTCTGCTTCTTTGTATTATGTACCTGTCAAAAGTACAAATAAAAGTGGAGTTTTTACTTTAGGAGAAATTGTTCTCGGGCTCAGCGAGACTCTTCTTTGTGTGAGCGCAAATCTCTGATTATGTTCGTGCACGGCCGTTCCAGTTTCTCCTCGTTCTGCGTGGCCCACTTAATCTCTTTTTCACATCTTTCCTGCAAGTGACCTCTATAAGCTCATCCCCTTTTATTCAGAGATGTTGTGTAGTGGAGAGAGTTCTGGGTAGTGTTGTGTAGTGGCACCTGGGGGCGTTTTGGCCACTGTGTGACACAGAGTGTTGGACTGGATGGGCCACTGGCCTGATCCAACATGGCTTCTCTTATGTTCTTATGTCTGGGGTTCTGGCCCCGCTGGTGGACCTCCTGAGGGCACCTGGGTTTTGGGCACTGTGTGACACAGAGTGTTGGCCTGGATGGACCATTGGCCTGGTCCAACATGGCTTCTCTTATGTTCTTATGTCTGGGGTTCTGGCCCCACTGGTGGACCTCCTGAGGGCACCTGGGTTTTGGGCACTGTGTGACACAGAGTGTTGGCCTGGATGGACCATTGGCCTGGTCCAACATGGCTTCTCTTATGTTCTTATGTCTGGGGCAAGGGATGCTCTGTATTCTTGGTGCTTGGGGGGGGCAACAGTGGGAGGGCTTCTGGAGTTCTGGCCCCACTGGTGGACCTCCTGATGGCACCTAGAATTTGGCCACTGTGTGACACAGAGTATTGGCCTGATCCAACATGGCTTCTCTCAGGTTCTTATGAGTATTGGATTCAGACTGGGAAGACCTGGGTTGGGAATTCCCCCCTCCACCAAAGCCAAACTACATTTTATTATTATTGTCATCTATGGCCCACCTTTTTCAGTGAGACTCAAGGGGGATTACAAAGCACCAAAGAAACAAGCTGATAGCAAAGATCTGTAATAGCCTTATGCCAATAAAGGTTTTCTGTTCTGTTCTGTAATAGCCCTGACCTGGGTAGCCCAGGCAAGCCCGATCTCATCAGATCTTGGAATCTAAGACCTCCAAAGAATACCATAAACCAATGCAATATCACAGCATACAAATTCACAGGAAGCAAGCAAGCAGTGTATAAATAACGCAGACCACAATTGCTCAAAAGTCATGCAAAACAGAGGTAGTTTATATAAGAATAACAGAGGACCACATATATCAGTAAAATAAATTTACATCATACCATGTACAGGTCCATGAGTAGTGTAAGTCCATTAATGGTACATATATAAGAATAGCGCAAGTCCATAAATGGTACATAGACAGGACCAGGGCTTTTTTTGTAGAAAAAGCCCAGCAGGGCTAATAATAGGCCACACCCAACAGCTGAAATTCATTAGACCCCTGACAGCACAGCTCATTAGCATATTAGGCCACACACCCCATGTTTGCAGAAGTGTGGTCATCCAGACACACCCACCTTTTGCTTCTTATTCTGTTTACCTTGTTTGTTGTCCAAATCCCGGGCCTTTTTTTGTAGCAGGAACTCCTTTGCATGTTAGGCCACACACCCCCTAATGTAGCCAGTCCTAATGCGTTTCTGTTGTTGGGCATGGCCTATTATGCTAATGGGGTTCCTGCTGGGCGTGGCCAACTCGGGAGCCAGCCAGAACTCCGTTCCTGTGCGTTCCTGCCCAAAAATAGCGCTGGACAGGACGAAGACTCCGGATTTAGATCTTTGTTTCGATAGCTCTTCTTCAGGAAGTTCACACTACAATCCTAGTCTAATCATTCACAGCTGGCCATCCAATCAGCAAAGGAACAAACTCCTCCATAGTCGGTAAGCCTCAGAAAATAGTTATTACCTAAAGGCTAAATATACCGTAGCCAATACACACACACACACACACACACACACCCCACAAAGATCTCTAATAAAACGATGCAGCCGTTTTTTTGGGGGGGGGGGTCCATCCCTTGATTTCATGATCAGCCTCGCTGTGGCATGGAGGTTTCTCCGTCGTTGGCTGAGTAGTTTCATTCTGAAGGATCTGAATGGATGGAGAAGCGGGACCGGCCAAAGGGTGTCAAAAAGGCAGGTGCAGCGCTGGAAGACAGCCGGGTGCGTGGTGAACGAGGGCGCAGGACTCAAGGCCTCCCTCTAAGCTGCGGAGTCTTGTGAGCAAAAATTCTACTTTGTGAGCGACTGGCATTAAAGTGGTGAGTGAGCGATTAACACGTGGAATTCACTGCCACAGGAGGTGGCGGCGGCTACAAGCACGGACGGCTTGGATCAACATCTGGAGCAGAGTTCCATCAGTGGCTATTAGCCACAAGGGATAGATGGGCAAGGGATGCTCTGTGTTTTTGGTGCTTGGGGGGGTAAGAGAGAGAGGGCTTCTGGAGTTCTGGCCCCACTGGTGGACCTCCTGAGGGCACCTGGTATTTCTGGCCACTGTGTGACACAGAGTGTTGGACTGGATGGGCCACTGGCCTGATCCAACGTTGGTTTCTCTCTTATGTTCTTATAGGAACTCTTGGTCTGGGGCAAGGAATGCATTGTGTTCTTGGTGCTTGGGGGGGGTCAACAGTGGGAGGGCTTCTAGTGTCCTGGCCCCACTGGTGGACCTCCTGATGGCCCCTGGTATTTCTGGCCACTGTGTGACAGAGTGTTCGACTGGATGGGCCACTGGCCTGATCCAACACTGGCTTCTCTTATATTCTTATGGCTACTGCATAAATTAGTTTGCTCTGGAGCCATCCGTCGTGAGCTGAGACGAAAACGTGTGAGCCGGAGGCTAAAAACTCAGCTTAGAGGGAGCACTGGAGCAGGTTACTCCCTGTGCTTGAATTCCTTGAGCTGCCTTCTACTGAATCAGACCCTCGGTCCGTCAAGGTCGGTCTTGTCTGCTCAGATTGGGAAACAAGCAAGGAGAAAGATGCCAGCAATAGAATCGACCAAACCTACTAAAACAGCCTTACAGAAAGTAAACGGAAACTGTTTTTTTACAAAAGTATCTATAGTGATCTAATATAAACTATCATGCGAAGCACAAAGTGCGTTATTATGTTAAAAGACATACAAAATGCATGCGGGGCATAAAGCCTGCTGAAAGGCAACCTTAAAGAGGGACCGAACCAATAAACAATCCTCTTAGGCTGTAAGAGCAGAAAGAAACGTTCTCTGCGACGGCCGAAGACAAGTCCCTCGGAGCATGAAGACGTCGAGCTTCGTAATACATGACAGGCCTGTTTCGAATCAATATCTTTATCAAGCTGTTAGCCGTCATAAGGCTTGTGGGGCTTCCACTAGCTTCCAGGAATTCACAAGCGCATGGCGGCAAACGTCCCTCGTGACAAGCTTGAGATAGCCACTCAGACTGGCAGCCGTTCTCCCGGATCTCAGGCGGAGGTCTTTCCCCTCACCTCCTGCCTCATCCTTTTCAACTGGAGATTCTGGGGATTGAACCTGGGACCTTCTGCATGCTAAGCAGAGGCTCTTCCACTGAGCCACAGCCCCTCCTTACAGCTCTCCGGGGTCTCAGGCGGAGGTCTTTCCCATCCCCTCCTGCCTGGTCCTTTCAACTGGACGTGCCGGGGATTGAACCTGGGACCTTCTGCATGCCAAGCAGAGGCTCTTCCACTGAGCCATGGCCCCTCCTTACAGCTCTCCAGGGTCTCAGGCAGAGGTCTTTCACATCACCTCCTGCCTGGTCCTTTCTACTGGCAATGCCAGGGATTGAGCCTGGGACCTTCTGCATGCCAAGCAGAGGCTCTTCCACTGAGCCACAGCCCCACTTTACAGCTCTCCAGGGTCTCAGGTGAAGGTCTTTCCCATCACCTCCTGCCTGGTCCTTTTAACTGGAGATGCCGGGGACTGAGCCTGGGACCTTCGGCATGCCAGGCAGAGGCTCTTCCATTGAGCCACGGCCCCTCTTTACAGCTCTCCAGGGTCTCAGGCTGAGGTCTTTCCCATCCCCTCCTGCCTGGTCCTTTCAACCGGAGATGCCGGGGATTGAAACTAGGACCTCCTGCACGCCAAGCAGAGGCTCTTCCACTGAGCCACAGCCCCTCCTGCCTCATCCTTTTTAAGTGGAGATGCCAGGGACTGAACCTGGGACTTCCTGCATGCCAAGCAGAGGCTCTGCCACTGAGCCACGGCCCCTCTTTGCAGCTCTCCAGGGTCTCAGGCTGAGGTCTTTCCCATCACCTCCTTGCCTCGTCCTTTTCAACTGGAGATGCCAGGGATTGAACCTGGGACCTTCTGCATGCCAAGCAGAGGCTCTGCCACTGAGCCACGGCCTCTCCCCTATAATACATGAAGACATGAAACAGCCTTATATTGAATCAGACCATCTGTCCAGATCAGTATTCCAGGTTTTTTCTGCATGCTGAGCCAGTGCTCTGCCACAGAGCCATGACTCTCACCTTTCTTTTAAAATGTAGGGTAAATACCATTGGCACAGATCCTGCGGCATTTGCCGTACAATGGAGAGCAGTAAAAAAAAATTTGAGAGCCCCCCAAAATCAGCTCATGAAGGTGCAGAGAGAGGAATTGCCCACTAGAGGGAGCCCTAACAAAGCCTTATGACTTTTCCCCGCATTTCCAATTGGCACTGCTCTCGAGCAAACATTTACATCTCCCTACCCTGCACTAACCTTCTCCAAAGAATCATGTCAGGAAACCTTTGTTTCATCTCTTGCTGTCTGCACACAGCCTCTCTCCGTTGCCAACCTGGGCTGTGTTCAGGGAGAAGAGGTAACCACCAATCCAGGGCGTCCGTAGATCCAAAGCACTTCCAGGTGTATGGGAAACGGGACGCCAGTCACTTTAGAAGCCCAAAGAGGTTTTGAAAAGATTGTGGTGAGCAACTGGTAAATAGGTGGCCGTGGTTTAGGAAGGAAATAAGTGGAGTCTCTCCCTCACCTACAAAACTGGAAGGGGGGTGGTGGCAGCTCAAGATATTCTGGTGTCAGTGGCAAATAAAGTACATTCTTGCAGTTTACCGCAACAGACTCTTGTGTGAGAGTGGATTAGATGGAATTGAGCGTGCCAGTTCATTGCAATGGAGCTTGTGCATCGGAGAGGCC